CCTGGAATGAAATCTCCTCTTTTGTATAGATCTGTCATGGCTGTAGATCTCTCTGCCTTTGTTGAATAACCGTAACTATTGTTGTCACAATGGTATATACAAGGAAGGTTCCAAAGTTTGGCCATGTTAAAAGCTTCAAATATTTGGCCTTGATTGGCTCCACCATCTCCGTAGATAGAAATAGACACGTTAGGTTTCTTTTCATATTTCATTGCAAAACCAACGCCAGTTCCCAGAGGTACCTGTTGAAGACTCATTACACGAATTATATAAAATAAAATCCATTTGATTTTTTCAATTTCTTTTTCCTTTTTTTTAAATTTTACTATTTAAAAACTACTGTGAAGTCACTTATTTGCGAAGTTCAATTTTCGTTGTTGTCGATGTATGATGAGACCCACGAATTTATTACTTCCGCGAAAAGAAACTGTTATACCATTATGTATTACTACTGAACATTTTCTAACAACGAAATCAAATCCCCATGAACCAATGTTTTTTAATTCCTCAGTTCTCCCAAAAATGTTCCCCCACGACATTTTGTGATTTATAGTAGTCAGATATAGCCACCACTTTGCAGGATGTAAAAAATACGAGTAATACGCATTCGAATGGATGCACATGTATCACATCAGAGTATTTTTTTTTAAATTCACTAGATCTTTACATCTTTTGATTTAGAATAAGCAACGTTTTAATTTTTTTTAGAGATGCTACAGTTAACTACAAATCAAAGGTTGTCTGTGCAAATAGATATAATCATACCATAATTTGATTTTCTCTCATTAAATCAACAATTATTATTTTTTTAAAAAACATGCGATCATTTTTACATCAAAAGAAAAAAAAATTATGTAATAGTGTTAGAAACACATTATTCATCGTAAGGAAAGGAATACCGAAGATCCGACTATTGCGTTCCCTCCAAGCATATTATGCAAGTAAAGGTGTTGAGATCCTGCCTTTCCCTTACAATAACCCGTTGACTTCCCTGTCGAAACAAAAATGACTACAATTATATGATTAAAATATGGACAACTTTCTTTACTTATGATTCAAATTTTGCCTGTTTGACACACATGGTGACGTCTCATTATAAATGAAACAAATTTGAATGGGACGTAAAACTACAATCAATCTATCATTGTAATATTGAATTTTTCTTGTTGAATATTTTTACCCAAAAATTCACTGATAATCTCCTCGATTGAACATCCCCTCGCGTAAGCCCAACCATGAGTACGGTAATTGCCAACCAAAATGTCCTCTTCTGCTATTGCCCCTACCACTCCAGTGCGAACAGCTTCCTGTTACAAGAAAGAAAACAAAATAGATACAAAAAATATCTATTACAGGACTGTATTCTTATGGTAATATGCGTGCCAACATATTCCGGCTGTGGTTATACATTTTGATGAGTTCTAAGAAACTAGTCAAACAACAATAAGCATGTCATCAATATGTACTTGCATTGACGTTTTTCCTGAGAAGTATCAAGGCCAACAGTTTCATTGGAATAAAATAGGCGAAATTAAAACCAACGGGACAAAGCAAGTTACATGTACTGTAAATTGCAGCTGACGGACAAATGAAAGATAAGTCAATAAGACTTGTTTTATCGGGAATCATTAAATAAAATAACATACATGTAGCAACTTCTTATATAAGACCTCAGATATCTACTACTTCATGGCACTTGATTCAATCTCTTATTTTATTTTTGAGGTCCATGATCGCTCTGCTCTGTTTAAAGACCTTTTGAGCTTGAGCCTGTTACCTCTATATAAATGGTATCAAAAAAAGAGGAATTGCTTTACCATTCCTGGGCACAAATGAAGAAGTCCCCGAATATAATTTTGATGAAACAATTTCTCTGCTGCGTTCCCTATCTCTCTCATTCCCGCCATGCTCTTAAAATAATCAAGGGCATCCTTCCTCGTGAGAGAACATCTAGTTAACGGCCCAGTTTCTAGTCTATGTAGCTTACAGGGCTGAAGAAAAGAGAAACACAGCGGATCAGATCAAGAATATTCTTAAATATTGATTCACTCTTAAAAGAGGTATGTGATAAAAAATATATATTCAAACATTTTAATCGGAAGATTTTTTTTTTTTTGCAGATATTTATTTTATTTAAAAAATTTAAAGCTTTCATTAGATTTTGATTTTTTTTTTCACTTTCAACAATGTGATTAAAAGTTAGATAGTTACATATAATTTATTAATCTAAAGGTCAAGTGAAATTTGTTACCTTTATGTCAAAAACAGTCTTTGAGACAAAACCTTGACTTGAAAAACATTGCAAAGAAATCTGCAACATATGTGATAAAGTCATTAAAATAAAAACCATTAAAATAACAGTTCACAAAGTATAAGTGTGTCGTCAGATGTTTAAGTAAGTGGTTTAAAATTCTCAGCTTCAATCAATCAAGACTGGATAAAAATTTCTCACTGCTCAGTTGAGTAATGGCCTAAATCTTAAGTCTTCTCAGATGTATGTTGACCACTCTATATGAGTAAAATTTATTATAATTATATACTTCTAATGCCTAGCTATTTCCGGTTCTGATATAAAAATGCAACGAATTCCTTATGTTTTTCATAATTACTGGACTAATATTATATTGTTAAAAAACGTCTGGGTCTAAAGAGGAGATAAATAAAAAATCAAACCAAACATTTTATTCCATCCATATGCGTTGACGCCATTTACAGAAAATTCAAATCAAATTACGTTACCGCTCACTGGCTCTTTACAATGTTATCGACATGAAAGTTTTAATTTATTATGCAGCTTTGTTTTCTGATTGAATTTAAATAAAGGTATAAAAATTTAATGAATTTGTTGAATTACACATTAGCTGTAATCATGTTTAATTCAATTTTAAATTGCACGAGCATTGAATTTATCCCGGATTTCGAATGTGTACCGACAAATCGTCTTCTCATCATTACATTGCATTAACAATTAAATCATATTTAACACATTTGATAAATGATGGTGCTACAAAAATTGTATTTAATAAGTACTGATGATACCAACGAAATTAAATCAAATATATTAAAAAAGAGAAAATTAAATTAATTTTTAAGATACATAAAATGGGATTTTAAGAGGCAAAACTGTGTATGTAATAATAATTATGGTTACATAATAGAATATTTTAACATCAAAGAAAACTGTCAATTTCTTAACATTTATAAAGAAATTTATTATTTGCATAATTTATCATCAACATAGATCCAAATATATATATCCTTTGTAGTCTGACCTAACAGTGGTAATTTTTTTACAAAGTTATGAAGACTGTCTATGATTTTTGGAACAACCCATGTGCATGTACTATAAAAATTTATAATTTCACTTTTGAAGCTCTATTCTTGTTTATCTAAAACAAAATAAAAACATGAAACACGTGTTAACAAACGAGTATCAGTGATTCTCAAATTATAGTCTCAATTCGCTTTAAATAATGTACCATGTTTTAAGTAATGTAATATTTCTAATAAATTTTATTTTCTGTCATTCATATGAACCATTGTTGGTTGTTGATTAAAATACAACAATTGTTTGTTGTACTTTGAATGATTGTCTTGGGCGAAAATATCATTTTATAGCAGAAATCGAAATTTACGTTACTATCGCCGATCGTAGTGTAGTTTTTATTTTAAAGCAAAGAGAAGTTTTAAATCACTTACATACCTTTTTCTTAGTAGGATTGTCCTACATTTGAGTTACATTTTCTGAATATCACACCCTTCACACATATGCGTGTCACAAATTTTTAAAAATGTTAATATATTTATCAAATTTTGATGTCACTGCAAATTATTACTTTTCTATTTCAAAAGGACTTGAAGGATTGCTGAACTGACTCAAAAGGACTCAAAAGGATTTAGTTGTACCCTTTTAACATCATGAACACCTCTTCTATTGCATGGAATTGTAAAAAAAAAAAGAACGCTATATATCTGTATTTATAAAAAATAGCCCGCCCCCCTTTTCTTATGAGTCCACTGGTTAAAAAAATCATCGATATTTACGTGTTAGTATTTATTCACAAATTAAGCAAGAGAACTACACTGCTTCCTATTGGTCAAATTGCCTTACACTCAATCACTAGAATATGCCTTTAATTAACAGTGGAATAATTAAACAACAGCATTAAAAGTTACAATAAATCTCAGAAAGATATTTACGTTACCGATATTTACGTTACCAATATTTACGTTACCATGTTTTAAAGTAAATTAAAATTAAATTCTAAAGCTGTTTGAACAGATTTACAAGTGAATCTTAATGATTTAAAAACTACAAACATGAAGAAATACACTGTTTCTTAAAATGGCATTTTTTTCTGTAACAAGAGTGCAGAAATGCAAATGAAAGTGCACATGCAAAGGTGAACATTTTTTACACAAAATCGTGTGCATCCGTGTGATTTGAAAAATGAATTGACGTATTATAATTCACAAGTAGAATTGTGGTTTAATGATCGAATGTTTCCATTTTGAGCAATTGGTTAATACTGCATAGTTTTAAGTATATTGCTCGTTTATTACGAAAGCCTATTAGGATCAATCTAAAGAGAAAAAAAATTTAAAGGCTTTATAACGCCTTTTGGAAAGGCGTAATAACGCCTTTTGAAAGGAAAGGCGTAATTACGCCTTTTAAAAAGGCATTATAACGCCTTCTTTGCGTTATTACGCCTTTTAAAAAGGCGTTATAACGCCTTTAAATTTTTTTTCTCTTTAGATTGATCCTAATAGGCTTTCGTACGTTATCATTCGGAACGTAAATCTGAAACAAAACTTTCTTAATGTTTGTATTTTGCTGTTTGTTTGAACTGATAGTGTATCATCAACTTAAAAAAAATCGTTATATACACCTAAAATGTTTACCATGCTAATCATTTTGAAGAAGAAAACATCACTTTTCGTAGGAAATATATAATTCCACAGAATAGGCGCTGCGCTGCATGTAGAAGGGGGGGGGGGTAACATCGGGTTAAATAAAAAAGACAGCTTTAGGTGTTGGGTGTCAAGAAACTGGTCGAAACTGAATAGATTTCCATTCTTTTTTTTTTTTTTTTTTTGCTTTGCAAGAAATACATATATTAAATTGTGCACCTAATTTTCCCATTTAAATTATTGCTTAAACATAGAACTTAGAACGTATGGTCTATGCTTTAATGGTACAGAAAATTCAATTTACGTTATATTATTGTAGAATGTACGTATATTGCTCTATAGACCACATATGATTTGCAACTGTAATTATTACCAAACCTTTTTAAGGGTGGTGGGGGTAACTTTGTTTTGTTTTTGAGATTTGACGATAAAAATTTTACAAGCAATGAAGCATTAGAAATAATCAACAGATTAAATGATGGAAAGGGGGGATCATAAATTAAATGATTCCTCTATAGATAAGTCATAACATTAATTTTTAATTCAACCCTTTGCCAAGAACACAGATAAAAAAATTTATAAAAGTCAATAATTTGAAATAATACATTCATTTTTCCCCGAATAAACTTTTATTTTTGTATGATATCTATGTGCGATTTTTACGTGATATTAAACTTGTAAACACTTCGTAATCAGGTAATGGCGAAATATTTTACCTTCTGATATTTTAAATAATGTACATTTCTCTGAATAGATTCATAAATAATCAAATAATGAAGCATTTTTGGTTTTATTGTCATTATTTAGCTTATCGTCAAATTTGATAAAATCTTTTAAAATGAAAAAAAATTATTTCATTAAAATGAAAATAATGCATGTTTTGTGTTTACTAATAATTGAATCAAAGATTCCTTTTACAAATGTGCTTAAACGGATTCATAAATGTTTATAGTTATAGTCCCAAATCGACTTTGGGAAAAGTCAAAAAAAATTTTGAACTTAAACTAATACTTTTATATGTCATTTGAAACATGAAGGTGTATAGTTATTAAAAATCACAATTTGATTTACATACTTCATGCTGTGTTTTGTTGACCTCCTTCGAAATGAATGCGGTTGGAGGGCTAATTTTACACCAAGATATTTAGCGATGTTGAAAAGCCATACTTGGAAACGAAAGATTCTTTTTTGAAAAATACAAAATTAAGATAATGCACATCGAATTTTGTTAACTATAAACATTTTTTGAAACCGTTTACACACAGTTGTAAAAGGGTGTGGAATCTTTGATTCAATTATTAGAAATAACAAAACAGGCATAATTTTCATTTAAATGAAATTATTTTCTTTTTATTTTAAAAGATTTTTATCAAATCTGACAATAAGCTAAATAATGACAATATTACATAAAATGCTTCATTTTTTTTTTATTTTTTTTTAATCTATTCAGTAGAAACGCACATTATTTAAAATATCAGAAGGTAAAATATTTCGCCATTTATTTACCTGATTACGAAGTGTTTGTTAAATATCACGTAAAATATTCCACAAAGATATCATACAAAATTAAAAGTATACTCGGGGAAAAATGAATATATTATTTCAAATTATTGATTTTTATGAATCTTCTTATCTGTGTTCTTGACAAAGGGTTGAATTGAAAATTTAGCTTGGTATATAATTTAGGTGTATATAACGATTTTTTAAAGTTGATGACACACTATAAATGATAACGTGCATTACACTTAAAATTATGCAATATTAACCAATTGCTCAAAATGAAAACATTCGATCATTAAACCACAATTCTACTTGTCAATAATATGTCAATTTAGTTTTCAAATCACACGGATGCACAAGATATTGTGTAAAAAATGTTCACCTTTGCATGTGCACTTCCATTTTCATTTCTGCACTCTTTTTACAGAAAATAATGTCATTTTAAGAAACAGTGTATTTCTTCGTGTTTTTTAAATTTTAAATCATTAAGATTCAC